TTTTTTCTGTTTTGAGTAAGTAAAGAACTTAAGCAACAAGACCCTGTTGTTTAAAGGGCAGAACTCACTCTCCAATGGATAAATCATTGTCCAGCTGACAAGTGTTAACCCTTTCACTCCTGTGACCTCATTAGTAATTCTCCCTGCTTTCTGACACATAATTCTCATGATGTTAGTCAGGAGAATATGACATTGAATGAACTACAAGTGATAATCCCCCAATTATACTTTTTCCTTGTTCTCATCACTTGTCTGCTTGACATTGTATTGATATTGTAGGGAGAAAAACAGTGTCTCAGTCTCTGAGGAATTTAAAAGGTCAACAAAACATACTGGATTGAGATTAATCCTGTAGACTACATTGTTCTAATCAGGTTAATCCTTAAACTCCCAGATCAAATTTGTAATTCTCTGACTGTCAACTGTACAATTCTTATAAAGTTAGTTCAGAGAATTTAGTTTTGTATCAACTAATTATTCCCAAATTGATATTTTTCTTTATTCTTATTGCTCATTTGGTTGACATTGAATTAACATTGTAAGGAGAAATTCTGTTTTGGTCACTCATGGGAGTTGAGGGGTTAAGCACTATGATCTCAAAATTACTTGATGTGTAAGGTTACCTTCAAACTCTTTTTGTGCTGGATTCCTCTGTAAGAATTTGTCTGTTTGTGAACAGTGGGGTTTCTTACCACTAGACCTACCTACTGAGTCTCATCACATTGTTTTTTTACAAGGCTTGCACTGTCAGCCTCCATGGACTGCCTAAAACAAAGAATGATGAAGTTCTGTTGAAAGTAAAACACATGACGCTCAACAAAGATATTGTGGCCCAAGTTATACAAAGGTATGAACTTGTGCACTGCATGTACAGTTGAAGTGTAAGGGTTCGTGAAGTCTTTCAGCACTGCAAAACAGACTGACGTCAGCATGCAACCCACGGGCAAATGGATTGAGCATATTAGCCAATCAAAGGGTGCACTTTTGTAAAGCTATATTACAAATTGTTAATGGTGATGTCGTCTGAGTGTCTGTCCTCCGATAGATCATAAGTAACAACCAATCAAAATGCATGTATAATTCGGCTTCAGTTATCAAGCTGAAATGGATTTTGTTTGTGTAATGCATTAAACATTTTCTTTCTTGTGTCTGTAGGGATGGAAATACAGCATCAGTAGAATTATATGACACTTCTTCCGAAGTTGATATCAACATCAACGCAATGTTACAGCGGTTGGTCATTCCAGATGTGGATATGGCTCCAGTCCTTCCCAAGGTAACAGCTGTAACAGTATCAAAGAGGAGGACTTATAGATATGTTATGTTAAAAATAAGAAAATTTCAGTGAGGGGCGCTAAGTTATGCTTTTATAGTAATTGTTCAGGGTAAACCCATTATTAACAATTATTCCAGTAGTATTTCCAACAAGCATAGGTGAAATAATTGTTTTATTAAAAACCTCTCAAAGTATAGATAAATCTTCCCAACTTTATTTTGTGAGAGCAAACGGAATGTTACATTGTACAAAAACACTTCTGGTTTAACTCATTTTCATGCATGCGCATGGTATAATGACTCATAACTCATGAAGGCTGAGCTAATTAAAACTCTTCAATTGCATTATCCAATTAGGATCTTGCTGCACTTTGTCTATACAAAAACAACCAAAACCCAAAGCAAGGGAAGCAGTTTTAATCATTATATGGCAATTGGACCAAACATGTTTACTTCGAATTAGCCAGCTTCTGCCACCAAAAATACATGGCTTGATGCCATTTCTGTGGAAACAGTCTGTATGGCAAAATACACACCAAGTAAGAAATAATCAGAATGCCCAAGGAAGGATTTACCATAGGACTACCATGCTATATAGTGACATGGATTATTTTTCTGTTTTGTTAGGTTGGTGAGCAAATTGAAGCATTTGTGACTTACGTTACACCAGAGGGTCATGTGTTCATACAGATTCATGGGGGGGGCACTACAAGGTTGAATGAACTTATGGAAGACATTGCTGAACATTACTCACAGGTAAATTTGGTTTAGAATTATTATTCCACTATTATGCTATTTTCCCATATAAGGGCAATGGAACTTGAAAAATATGCTACAGTATTGCATGGTAGGGCATGGCAAAAATATGCATGGAAAGTGGAAGAACAAAATGGCTGCACTGCAGGATCCACATTTGGCTACATTCCTTATTTTAGGCTTGACTTAAAGAGCAATGAACTTTAAAGTCCATCAGAATTTTTTTGTTAGGTAAAAAAAATTCAGTGGTTTTGCTTTTGCTGTTTTTGTCTTTCATGCAGGCCAGTTTTGATCAATACTATGCTTAAATGGATCATAGGATGTAGAGATTGAAATAATTATGGATGTATCCCTTATTCAATGGTTTAACACATAACAAGGGCAAATCTTTTGCACATTGCTCTCATTTTTCTTTGCCTATACAAGGCTTGGAAACAGTGTGCAACTTGCAAAATATCTGCCCTTGTTATAAATTAAACCATTGAATAAGGTGAATATATATACATATTTTTTTTAGCCCAAGGTGACATGAGTACCGAAATAAAGTGATTTTGTTTTAATACTTTTTCCCCAACATCTGAATGTGACTTTTCAAAATAATAAAAATTCTCAACCTTTATTTTGTAAGTTAAATAAGAAAATTTGGTGACACCCTCCTACTGATCAGAGAATGTCTTCTCATTAGCTATTTTCTGGATAATGTATTGCCAATAGTTAGGAGAAGTAGGAATGTAATCATTGTGTTTATTTCTAATTGATTTTTTTTCAGCCAACAAAGGCTGCTGAGTTTGTGTCCAGTCCCCACAAAAACAAAATGTGCTGTGCGAAATGTTCAGATGGGGTCTGGTACAGAGCCATAGTGACAAATGTATTGCCAGACAGACAGGTATTTCCTCTATAGAGAGTGATGATGACATGTTCCAAATGATAAATTATACATTGACGATATTAAAATTCATGACAAGTTTTTAAAACATTGTTTGTCTCAATTGGGATGAGTCACACTTGAAGAATCACCCTGAGAGTGACTAGCATCTAATTTCTCCCTACAATGTCAGCCCTGAATCACACTCTGTGATCATGAGAATTAAGGAAATCATCACCAACTCAAGCAGCTCTTGTTTGTTATACAAATTCTCCTTGTCAGCATCTTAGAAAATGTTTAGAGAACAGTATGGTGAATATGCACACTGATGTTAGGGTGTACATTTGGGCTGAGTGCTCAATCTTACGAGGTTGGGTTCTTTGTTTCACAGAGGCTCAGATCATTTATTTCATTAGAGTTCTAAACTTTGTTTTTCTGTAAGTTGATGTAGATACAAAAAACGTTTTGAACATCACTGAGATATTAGAGCTGACATTAATTGTGTTTGGTTGTAACTGTGGTTTGTTTGTAATATGTTAAAGGTCGAAGTACAGTATGTCGACTTTGGAAACATAGAAGCACTTCCACTAGCAAGTCTGCGTGAACCAACAAGAGCCATAAGTCATGTCAACTCTCTTCCTTTCCAGGTAATCCACCCCACTTGTCTCTTTGTGCCGTGCTCTCTTCCCCCCCCCCCCTCACTCCCTCCCCTTTCAGATACTCCACTCCACTTGTCTTTTCGTGTCTCCCCCAATCACTCTCTCCCCTTTCAGCTACCCCACCCCCATGTCTTATTGTGTCTTTCTCTTGCTGCTCTCTTCCCTTACGGGTACCCCTCTCTATTTGTCCTCACCCCCCCCCCCCTCGTTCTCTCTTCTTACAAGTACCCCACTCCACTTGTTGAGTTCCCTTCCCCCCTTGCTCTCTTCCCTTACCAGGTACCCCTCCCTAATTGTCTTTTTGTTTCCCACCTCACTGTGTTCCCTTTAAGGTACCCTACCCTCATGCCTTATTGTGTCCCTCCCTTGCTGCTCTCTTCCCTTACCAGTATCCCTTACTTACCTTTTGTTTCCCACCTCGCTGTCTTCCCTTTCAGGAACCCCACCCACACGCCTTCTTGTGTTCCCTCTTGCTCTCTTTCCTTCCTCTTCCTTCTCATCCAACTTTCCTTTTTATATTTCTGCCAGCCCTTTGTCATTGTTGCAGTGATTTCTTTCATTTTAGCTTACCTCTAAGTAAGCAGCTTCATTAAAATTAAAACGTGAAGAAGGGGTGGTATTTTAAAATTTCCTTCTTTTGCAATTTACGTAGTATTGTATATGATAAGAGAACTTATTTATGGAGTGTATTTTTGAATCTATTTTTTTATCTGTCATAAAGGCGTTAGAATGCAAGCTGGAAGGAACTGAGAAGGTAATTCATGTATGCGTTAAATATTATACTCTTTCTCCTTTGCATTCTTTCGAGTAGTGTCTTAAAACTCGCTGAGGTAAAAGGCATGACTGGTTATTACTTTCTATTCTTTCCTAAGACCTGCCTGACTGAATGTTCTTTTTATTTTTTGTAGCAGGGCCTGACAGAGGAACAGACTGAGACGATCATTGAGAGGGATGTATTACTTGAGGTTAGAACTTAAGAATTACAGATATTTCAAATAAATCTCTTTCATGATGGTAGGCACGATTACCATTCTTTCAAGCGAATGGAAATTTATTCTGATACCAATTGCACTCGTTGTTAGTATTTTGACTCGCCGTGGGGACTGGAGACGTATTTACCCATGGGTGGAGAGGGGCGATATTATGGCTTTACCCAGAAACACAATTAACCCCCCAGGTCTTGAACACGCACTTACCTCTGTCGGAGACCGGAGCCGAACAAAGTTAAGATTCTCTTCGCTCTGATGAAGGACTAACGCTCGAAACGTCAGCTTGGAAACTCATTACGGAGGCCAGTTTAAGTTAGCAAGTCTGTTGTCAAGTCTGTTGCTAAAACCAAAATAACATAGTTAGTTTATTTCTGTGGCTGAATTGTGCTTGTGAGTGCAATCAAGTGTTTATCTCGTCTCGCGACGTTGTGACTTCTTCCGTGAAATTTAAAAATTTAACTGGTTGCTACTGTATCTGTTTCTTTTTCAGGTTGTTCAGATGGCAGACGTTCCTTTGGTGAGGCTTTTTATTTCTTCTGAGAACGAGGAAGACGCCTTAGTAAACGTGGGAGAGGTGTTGGGATTAGAGACAGAAGAACAGAAAGAAACACACGATGAAGCAGCTGCTGCTGGGTATGTGGGACTTGGTTTTAAAATGTATCAATTAGATTCTATGTTGCTGTTTCATAAGTAATCACAGACGACGTCAAAATTTAGTAAGAAAAACAAATGGCACACATGGCTCAACTGTGTGTATCACTGATGTTCCTTCCGCATTTTGACGCCCTCTGTGATCTCTTACTGTATAGACCCACGGAATCTATTTGTGTTAAATGATAAGAAGCACGCCACGCTCGTGACAAGACGAAAAACATCTTTCTCTATTTCTTTACCAAGCTCAAAACTTACTATCTCTCTTATTCCATTCCTAAACATGACGCTATCGACATCGCTGATCCTAGCAGTATGCAGGACGCGTGTTATGTGAACTTTGTAACAGACCTCGCTCACCGTAGAATCTCTGTGGCTCAGTGGTTGAGCATCGGAGCGCGTAATCCAAAGGTCTGAGGTTCAATTCCTCATGGGGACTTTTTTTCTTTGTCCCACGCTCGTGACAAGACGAAAAACATATTTTTCTGAGAAGCAAAGTGTTGTTAACGGTGACGTCTATGCGTCTTTCCTCCAAGAGATCATTAGTGAAAACGAATCAAAATGTATGGACAATTCAGCCTATCATGTAAAAAATGTTTATGTTAGACTTGATTTCAAAGGTCCTCGGTCTTACGCTCGCCTCCTATTCTTGGTAATTTGAGGTTCACCCTCTCAGAAGTGCTGTAAACCCTTTAACTCCCTCGAGTGACCAAGAGAGAATTTCTCCCTACAATATCAATACAATGTCAGGCAGACAAGTGATGAGAATAACGAAAAATGTGCATTAGGGAATTGTCAGTTGATCTAATACAAAATTTTCCGAACTAATATCGTAAGAATTTTATGGCAGACATTGAGGTGAATTACGAAAGATAAAAATGCGTGTTTCATATGAACTTATTTATGGTTAAGCGTACCTTCAAATTCTCTTTAGCTCAGTGGTAGAGAATGGAATCTGAAGATTTTCTTCTCCCCTGGTCATGACAAAGTGATTAAAAAAAGTCGTCGTTACCTTTCAATGCACACTCAATTCTTTTGGTTTTTTTTTTATCAGAATTGACAGCACTGCTTTGGAATATAATGATGATGACAAAGACAGCGTGACGTCAGAGAGCTCCACAGAGGCCTGTAGGCCAGTAGATGATGGCAACATGACCACAGCACTCCTCTCCAAACCGTGGGTGGACATTTGTATACTGGAGGCTATTGACCCCAGCACGTTTGTGGTGAGAGCATGGGTACCCTGTGTCAATATAGATGTACAATAATACATAACCAGTCTTCAAAAGTTCAAATGTCTGGGGAGTTGTTGGGGAAGGGAGATGCTGAAGCTTCGGATTGATAGACGCAGTATACCGTGTCCTTGCTTGATGATGCTGGAATAAATTGTTGTTGTTTGTAATGTTTTTTTGTATCATTATAGTTTCAGTGTTTGGAGCTCCTACAACAGAAGGAGGAGCTTGAAGAGAAAATGCAGAAATACTACACAGTAAGTGGTGACAG